TATTTTTTATATAATAATTATATTATTAACATTAATATTTTATTTTTTATTAAAAAATTAATACTTTTTTTTATGTTCGCAGGCAAATTTGCCTGCATTACAGATGAAGGGATAGTAAGGACTAACTGAAGTGCTATATTTGCTCTTGTTAATGAAAAATTCTTTGAAACAGATACTCCAGATAGTTATGAAAATGAATCAAACTACTAGTATAAGTAATGTATGATGCTGATTCTATACTTTATCTATTTAATCATTTGCCTTCTGATTTAAAAATGAGAGTTAGAATTGCTAATCCTATCACAATCAATACATTTTTTACTGAGTTGTGTAATAAATAGTTCCAGTTAATTTTACTACTTAATTACAAAAAGATTTGTTAGATGAAAGGCTTAAAGCAATTGCTTTTATGAAACAGCTTGCAGGAGATTTGCAATATACAGGGTTAGCAACAGATGTTGATATTCTAGATCATTTTATTTATGATGATCTTGGTAAAAGGTTAGAGTGTAAAATGACTCATGTTAGAAGAAGCCTCTTCTCAGAATTACAGGTTAGAAATACAAATATTACAAAGAAAGCTGTTAGAAAGATAATACAAAAAATACTAGTTAAACGAATTGTTTTTCAAAAAGTTATTCATTATTACTCAACCTGTGGAAAAGTCAGCCATTCAAAGGTTAATTGTCCTAGAGTTAAGTGAACAAAAAAGGTTAATTATATATACCAAGATGGGTAGAAATTTCTGAAAACTCTGAAGAAGAATACATAGAAGAATACATAGTGAAAGAGGAAGATAAAGCCAAAGAAGAGAAAATTGAAGATAATGATGTTAAATATATTGAAGAAGATGATAGCGAATCTAGAAACTGTCATGCTGTAAAAAAAGTAACATGTGGTGGAATACCTATAAAAAAGAAAGAAGCAACCAAGAAGTCTCCTACTTCCAAATCTCGTGTTGAAAATACCAAAGTATCAAGTAATATAATTAATTATAAGGTGCTTCACATAGCTATAGATCAAATGTATCAAATAGCCTTAAAATCTATAATATTATCAGTAGTTTTCCATTATCCTAAAAGATTCTTATAGAAATTTTGAAATTTATTAATACAATATACCTCAAATTAAAAGACCATTGCTTAAATACTATTATACCAGATGATACAGTTAAAAGAAGAGAATTAGCATGGAAGAATGTTGCAAAAAAAGTACAAGAGGTCTTGCTTCCGCTATTACAGGCAGTAAATACTAAGCAGAAACCTCTTTTACAAGTTCTGTCTCCTTCTTAGGCTACATCCATTCAGGAAGAGCAGGTCCTTAAAGGATTATACCAAGCTAAAAGAATGGTAAATAATATTATAAAAATAGAAACATTGCTAGATAATAACCATTTAGGAAGTAGTCATACTTTGAATTATGCTATTAAAGCATATGTTCAATATCATTCAGCTGAAAAAAAATAACCAAATATATTGGTCTAAGCTTTTGGAGATAAATTTTCTTTGAATAAAGGATGCTGATAATGTTACAACTATTTATTACAAAATAAAAGGTTTAATAATTCCATGCGTAATAGTAGATACAAGCTCTGATTCTTCTATCTTTTCAGATAATATCGCAGAAGTTGTTGAAGAACTATTAGGTATTAAAATTGATAGGAAAAAAATTCATACGCTTAATGGAGTTATAAGTCAATCAATATCTATCAGTATTATGGATAATATTTTCATAACAATTAGTTCTGGAAAAAATACAGCTACTATTATAGATGAATTTTCTGTTGTGTTTACAGAAAAAGATCATAATGGAAATGCTAAATCTTTAGTAATTCTTGGTACTCAATGGCAATATCAGGCTGGATGAAAACCTTTAATAAAAGAAGAATTTAAGGCTACATATAATAGAAAGACTAATAATATCTCCTTATCAGTTTACAAATACCAGCGCAATGTTTATACTGTTGAAAAAGAGCCAGAAGAATAGTTTCCTATAGAGCTAAAAAAAACTAGCTAACTGTATATGTCAGTATTGCTTTAAGGAGTTTTGTTATCCTTCTGTTTTTAAGCGATATCTAAAATTGAAAAATAAGTGCAGTTTAGCTAATAATCAGGTTAGCCTAACAACTGATCAGATTAATTCAGTAAGTAATCAGATTAGCCTAATAACTAATTAGATTAACTCAATAACTGATCAAGTTAGTCTAATAAGTAATCAGATTAGCCTAATAACTGATTATATTAGCATAAAAAATACTGTACCTATTCAGCTAATATTGGCTTAAACTACTTTTTTGCACATTTATTATTCCTTGTAAAGTGTTCTTTAAGTCTAGATAGATATTTGAATACTTTATCACAATAAATACATTAGCGATCTTTATAGTGAAGAGATTACTTTACAAGGTTAGATTTAGTATATATATATATTTATCAAGATATGATTTATTTTTTTTTCGCCTAGAGGTTAGACTTTTTTGTCATTATGTTTGTGAAAATAAATTGTCTTTAGAATAGTTTCCAACATATCAAGAAATTAATGATATACTAGAATATACTCAATACTTTTTTAAAAATTTGGGTAAGAAGATATGTTAATAGGATTTAAATCCAGCTTGATTTTAAGCTTGAATTCAATATTAGATTTTGATATGATTCCTGATCTTGTAGATTAATTTGGGGTTCAATAAAGATTTCAGAAATTTCATATATCAAGAAAGTAATGAAAAGGCCACACATTTTAGTATATCTATTTAGAAATTTTGTTTCAGAACTCCCAAAGTGACCTATATATTCTATTCCTTTCTTGTGGATCCATTTGTTATAACTTAAGAATTTCTCTATAATAATAATAATATCCTACCCAATATTTTGCATCAATATTAGTTTCTAAATGATGTTTAAAACTTTGCCATACTAACTGTTTATTTCCATTATTTGACTTATGTTCCTGAATTGCTTTTTCAACAGAGAGAATTCTAGTTGGTTTAGATATTGAATGATTATCTATTGTTAAATTTCATTTTTTTTTAAATTGGATGAATTAGAAATTAGACTGGAATATTTTTCATTTAGGTCTGAAAGTGTACGACAAATAAAAAATATTGTAGAACGCCATTGTGGTTCTTGATCTATAACTAAATTAAAAAAAAAAATTATTCAGAATTAAATTCCTAAATTATCATTATAACCTTTTTTTACTTGCCTAATTTTACTAAATATTTTCACATATCAGATACTTCAACTGAAATGACTTACGATATTTGTCATGAACACGTTTTCTAATACTAATAAGTATTTCTGATTTATTAAGATCAGAATGTGATTTTTTCAGTTCTGCAATTTCCATAATAATGCTTCTACACTATTAAAAAAAAAGAGACAAAAATTAAAATCAAGTAAGAGAATTTAAATATTTGTAAGTAAAAGAAATATCATTTACCTGTAAATTTTACATTTGAAATCATAAGGAACTTTTTTTCCTTTTATAGCATTTCATTTTCATCTATTAGTAGTTTTTCTAAAGCCATATATCTCACATTTTCAATATTATGTGAAATATTTTTGACAAATTCTGAAACTTTATATTTAAGCCAAAATTTGCTAACTTTATTTTATTATCACTATTTACTAAAATATTTGCAGACTGAATATTATGATGAAGAATCTACAAAATTTTATTTTTTTATATTTTATTTTAAAAAACAATAAAAACGTTTCAATGAAAAGAAATAAAAAATGAAAAAAAAAAAAGTTTACTAATTACCTGACAACCATTTAGGTAAGCAACCCCACAACAAATATCCAAGGCAAATCTAATTTTAGTTTGCCAAGTCATCAGTTCTTTACATTTGATATAATATTTATTTAGTTTTTTATATTCCATCCACTCCGTAACTAGGTAAAATTATAATTTTCTTGAGCCACATTAAAGAATCTTATGATGTGATCAGAATCTTTTAATTCTTTAAGAATATTAACTTGTCTTTTAATTTCAATTTGAGACTGATCCAAGACAGAGAAAGAAGAATTATTTAAAAATTCTTTAAAAGAAACGTATTGAAAATCATTTTTTGATATACATTCTTCGATTTTCTTTGAATGAAAGTTACCAGTTTTTAAGTAGTTACTTCCATCAAACAATGGCTCATTCTTGTTTATGTAAGTTATCAAATCAGATAAATTCACGTCTGTATGCCTATTCTGTTTTTGAAATTCCTTGTTTTTTCCAGTTACAGCATCCATCCCATTAAGAAAATTTTTTTGATCAGTAGAATCATCAGAGACGTTATGAGTATATTCAGATTGAATGGTAAAAAAATTGTTAAATTATTCTTATATCTGTCAAATTCCTTAATAAGCTTAACTAAAGTTTCGTAGATATTATCAAGATTAAATCTTTGAAATTTGTTTAAGTGACTAATATCCCTAATAAAATTTCTAATTTTTTCTATACATTTAATAAATTCTTTAAATATGCTTAGATTTTCAGGATTAGAAAAAAACTTCATATTTTCAGTTTTTCTAATATTTAAATCTCTTACTTCATTATTCGCATAATTACACCTCTGTAAGAGATAACTATATAACTCTTTATTATGTTAGGCCTTTTCATTTAACATTATGATTTCATTTATCAATGATTTGGTTACTAGATCAAATTCTCTACTATTTAATTCCAATATACTTTTGCAGTCATCAATTTCTTTTTGATTATCATTTAAATTTATTTTATCTAATTAAGTTGATACTTGATTTTCATATAGATAAATCATTTTCTGTGGATAATTGAAAACCAAAGAAGTTAGAGAAAGAGAGCTGCAATTTACTTCCATAATAGAATCATCCAAGCTAACATTAACATGATGATGTTTCGAATCTCTATTCAGCAACTTTTCATCTTTAAGAGATTTTTTATCAGTTAATAAGTCTACTAGAAAATAAATTATAAAATTGTTAAAAAGATGAAAACTTTAATTTATAAACTTAGTATATGTATTTACCATCTAGAATTGCCAATTCTAGTCCTTCATTTATATTATTAATCATTTCTTTATGTAATTGCTTCTCATCAATATCATACTATCAATATATGTATTATCAAGTACATTATAATTAGATATATTAGATTTAGTTTCAATAGCATTAAGCTCTGAAATTACTTGACAAATAACTGGTCTTTCATCTGGTTCATGTTTCCAACATTCTATTAAATAAATAATTAAGTTAAATTTTAATGAATATTTTACATAAAAAATAAAAGTTAATATAATTACCTTTGTAAAGTTTAACAAATTCAGGATTTGTATTTGGAATAGGCTTCTCTCTTTTACCATTGACAATATCTATTAGAGTAAGTTCCTCAGAATCGAAAGGTGGTGAACGACTAGTTAATTCCCAGAATAATACGCCTAAGCTATATATATCATACTTTTTTGTTAATTTATAACTTTCAAGTTTATTAAAAGTGATAGGATCCATATAAGGAAGAACACCAATTAAATGTTTAGTATAATGTACTGATTCTTGTAATCTACGTGAAATTCCAAAATCTGCAAGTTTAATCGCATGTTGATGTACTAATATATTGTTAGAATGCTAAAATATAAAGTTTATAAATAATATTAGCAAAATTATTATAATAAATTAATAAACTTACAAGGTCCCGGTGTAAAATTCCATTATCGTGCAAACACGAAATTGCGTCGGCAATTTCTTTGGCAAATTTCAATTGATCTTTCCATTTAAATGTACTAGAATTTTTCTTTAAATATGTTCTCAATGTTCCACTATCTGCATATTCAAATACAAGAGAATAACTCATACTTTTAGCAAATTTATCTGAAAAGCAGAAAAAAAATGATAATAATAAAAAAACGTTACGGATCATTTGATTGACGAAATTACGTTTAAATGGTACCGGAAATATCTGAAGAATGTCTTGTGATTCCCCAAATTTAATAATGTTAGGATGAGTATTAACTTTTTTCATTAAATCAATCTAAATAGATTAATAATATATGCGTAATTTTAAGAATATTAATTATTAAAAGTCAATGTTAAACGTTTTTATAGCATACCTCATTAGTAATTTCTTTCATACTTAAAATTTTGTTAAATTTTTTAATTGCAAATACTGAATTTTTCCAATTTACAGTAAAAACTGAAGCGGCTGCTCCAGAACCAACTTCAGATTCATTCTTAAAATCCATATGATTATATAAAGTAATTTCTTTAGCGTTAATGCATTTTTCAAACCACTCAGATAATAATTTAACCTCTAGAATAAAAATTTATACTTTTATCAAGAAAAATTTAAATAAAATATGATATTTATGATAAGTTTTATACCTGAATCTTCTATTATTATTTTAAATATCTAATATAAAATATTAGTAAAATTAAATAAAGTATTTAATTTTAAATATAACTGATAACTTACTTATAAATTTAAAAGTTATTTCCAGTAAATCAAGACACGTGATATAGTAAATCATATGACCGTGATGTGAAAAATGAGAAAAGATATAGTTACCTTTAATGTCTTCGTCATTATAATTATCTAATAAATGAGATTCTAGTTGTAGAATATTTATAAGTTTTTAATTTGTCATCATTTGCTATATTTCTTTACCTGCTTTATTAAATGCTGATTTTACCACTTCTCCACAATCTTTATATTCTGCACAACCTATAATAAATTTATACCAAACTTTAAATTTCTTGTATAATTCATTTGCTGTAGGCCTTTGGTCTGGATTAGCATTTATACATTGATTAACAAATTCCTTATAAATTTTGGGAGTTCCTTTTCCAAATTCTGGTATATCCTTGTTTTCAAATGAAAATTTTCCAGATGATAATTCAATCATAACTACACCAAAGCTATAGATATCTGAAGCTAAAGAATATGATTCTCCCCTTATAATTTCGGGGGCAATATATGGCATTAATTCCAAAACTTTGTTATTTGGTGCAATTTGCTGTTTAATTGATTGAGTTAGTTTAAAATTCGTAATATAAATTTTTGAATCATCATTTAGCATTATGCTTCCATAATGGAAATTATTATGACTATATCCTAACTCATGTAAGTTCCTGAGTTTAAATGAAGTATCACGTAATATTTCAATTTTTTGTTTCCATAATAACTTTTTATCATTTTCAAGTAAAGTCCGCAAAGATTTTTGATTTCCATAGTGCATTCTTTACATCGTTTTTCAATAAGTTCCTTGTCGCAATATGAACATTTTATATTTTTAAGCATTATATGTTTTTTATAAATTAATTACTGGACAAACAATTCTAGAATTACAATTTAAGAAATTTGTATTCTTTATAATAGTTTACCTAAACGCCACATAACCTTATTTGTTATTTGTTTAGTTACATTGACATTTTGGAATTGAATGACAAAAAAAATTTTTTAACCAATCACGAAATATCAAGAAATTTCGCGGGGGTCGATTTTTTTTTTTGACTTTCTGTTTGTAAAATTGAACGAAAGTGAGCTTTGTTATTTTTATTTTATAATATTTTGATTGCATATTAGGTTGTCGATCGCGTCATTTAAATAAGTTTTTTTTTTTGTTTTATTTTATATTTCTGTTTTAATTTCGTCCAGATTTTCGATCACATCGGGTGCTACATCAGTTAAATAAAATTTTTTTTTTTATTTATTTTTTTCATTTTCATTTTTATCTTTTTTTTTAAAACTTCGAACCAGGGACGATGATTTTCTGCATTCACGGAATTTTGCAGAAAATCACGGAATAGGCATATAAAAATGGTGATAATTTCTAAATTTTTGGCCTAGATTAGAACGCGCAACCATAATAATGCCGGCCGACACTATTTTGGCCAGGGATTGGTGAATCATAATGCCACCCGATGTAATTCTGGCCAAATCGCAGAATTTTGCAGAATTATCTTTTATCACATCACAGACGGAATTGGCTATTTATCACCGCAGAAAATCATCGTCCCTGCTTCGAACTGAAGTGATCCAATTCGATTAAAAAAAACATGTTTATTCACTTGTTTTCTATTTTAATTCTTTTGTAACTGCAGGAAAGGAATATGAGCATGTGTAATTATTCTATTTTGAAGCTGAGAGACGAACTTTAAAATAACTTATATAGGTACCTCATATTTCTTTAATTTTAATTTATAAATACATAATTTATCTAAAATTCAGATTCTCTTAAGTACCATTTCTGATATCTAATTTCAGACGCCTATTATCTGAAATTCAGATTCTATCTGAAGTTCAATTTCAGAAATCCCAATTTATTTCAGATATCCTCGTGTTTCAGTCACGACAGCGGTATCTTAACTAGAATTCATGATACTGAAAAATGAATGAAGAAAAAGATTTGCTATTAAATCAACTTACGAATAACATCCCATCCAATTAAATTTACCTCCACGTGACTTTGTGGCCGGCATTACTGAACTTTGCCGAGATTATTCTAGTGACAAATAAAGACTGAAATAGTACCTGAATACATAGTAAAAAATAGTGGGCAACAAATTATATATGATCACGTGGAAAGATAACATCAATAACTTTTTGACGGATCTCTTTTCTAAAACACGTCAATCAATCGGAAAATAATAAATTTAAATTTGCCTACAAGAACTTTTTAATTATAGTTCGTATACATGAAAAAATCTTTAGCATTCAATCATCATTTTCTTTTAAATCTAATGTTTCGTTAGCATATTTATTATAAAGAAAATTACATGATTTCCAAATCCTCGGAAATCTAAATCTATTATATTTTATTATTTTCTCGTATATTAACGTTATATTTAAATAATAAAAAGTATAAATACAAAAATATGATGCCAATAATTAAATCATAATATTATATTTAGTACACATTTCTGAAGCCTTAGGATGATCATGCCTAACAGCTTCTCGTAAATATCTCGCCCCTTGTTCCCTATCTTGTTTAATACCATTGCCACCATTCCAATAAGCCTTTCCAATAATATACATAGCGGTAGAATTTCCTGAATTAGCTGCATTTTTTAAATATCTAGAAGCTTCCAAAGAATTTGCAGCAATACCTTCACCTTTCCATAAACATATTCCATATCTTAATTGTGCAGAGGGATTTCCTTTATCAGCCGTTTCTTTAAATATATTTACGGCCATATTAATTCTCTCTTTTGTATTAATTTGTTTTAATTCAGGAATATCCTCACCATGATGATAATAATAATACCCTAGCCAATATTTCGCTTCAATATTGGTTGATGAATGATATTTGAAACTATCCCACGCTATTTTTCTATTTCCATCATTAGATTTGTGCTCACGAATTGCGTCGTTCACAGATAGAATATTAATAGTTACGGGTGATGATGATTTTTCATTTCGGTTATTATATGATTTATGGTCCTCTGGATTCTCAAATCCATTATTATACTGGAAAAAGATCTCAGAATAATTTTCATTTAATTTGTAAAAATCACGACAAATATCAGATATGTTAGGGCGCCACGTTGGTAAATTTTCCATTGCTGAAAGATAAAGAGAAAAGAGGTCAGTTAAGATTTAATACTTAATATTAAAATAATAATTCAATATATTACCTCTAGATACTATAAGTGTCCATTCACGAGGTACATCATCTGAAAACGGTTCGATAATTCTTTCTCTTACGCGTTTTCTAATACTACCAAGTAATTCTGATTTATCAAGATCCGAATGAGGTTTTTTCAATTCAGCAATTTCCCACAATAATGCCCCAACGCTAGAATATATATATATATATATATATATTTTAAAAAAATAAGTCAGTAAAGTTTTTAAAATAATTGAATCACCCAATACACACTAAAATCCTGGCGAGTTTTGTAATTAAAAAATTTTTTTTAATTTACCTATAGACTTCACACTTAGCATCATAAGAAACACTTTTCTTTTTAACATCACTGTTATTTTCTTCATTGTCTAATAATAATTTCTCCGGTGCCATATATCTTATATTTTCTAGATTATGTGAAATATTTCGAGTAATATCCGAGAATTTTTTGCTTAAACCAAAATTTGCTATCCGAACTTTATGATGAATATTTACTAAGATGTTTGCTGACTGGATATCATGGTGAAGGATCTAATGTTTATAATTTTTTTGTAAAAAAGAAAAAATAAAAATAAATAAATTTTTTTTTATATAAAATAAAATAAAATAATAATACATAAAAAATCATTGATCGTAGTAGCTTACTTTACATTCATGAAGATACGCGACACCGCGGCAAATATCCAAAGCAAATCTAATTTTGGTTACCCAATTCATCATTTCTCTATAATTTGTATAATATTCATGTAAATTTCCATGTTCCATCCATTCAGTAACCAAATAAAATTTGGAATCTTCTTGAGCCACACCAAAAAACCTTATAATATGATCAGAATCTTTTAATTCTTTTAGAATATTAACCTGCTTTCTGATTTCAATTTGAATCGGAGCTTGGGCTGGATAGTGACTATGGGCTTGCTCATTGTTGGTTTCTGAAGGAACAGCAGCATTGGTATTTGAAAATTCTTTAAATGAAACCTCGGTACAATCAGCTAATGATATGCGTTTTTCAATTCTTTTTGAGCGCGTATAATTGATTTTCTCATAATTTTTATAGTAAAGTAATGGTTCATTTCTTTCCACTCTAGTTATAACTTCAGATGAATTCATGTTCATGTTATATTTGTCTTGTTTTTGAAATTCAATGTTTTTCTCTGTTATCGAATGCATATTCCTCAAATATTCTATATAGTTACGATCATTGACACCATAAACGTTGTATAATAACTCCTTGATCTGCTTTACATGACTCTTTATTATTCCCAACTCGTCTCTAGATTGTACAATGAAGGAAAAATTTAAATTTCTCATATACCCATCAAATTCTGCTACGAGATCAGTAAAATCCTGTTCGATGCTGCAGGCCCAAAAGTATTTAATAAGTTTGTGTAATTTGCTAACACGTAAAATAAATTTCTTGATCTTTTCCATACATCTAATGAATTTTTTAAACATCTCTAAGTTTTCTTGTTTAGAAAAAAATTCCGCATTTTCCGTTTTCCTCATATCTAGATCCCTTACTGCAGCCATTGCACCATTACATCTTTGTAGTAGGAGCCCACATAACTCTTTATTATGTTTGGCCTTGTCATATAAATTGATAATCTCTTCTCCTAGTTTAATAAATGTTGCGACGAAGGGCATAAATGTTTCGAAATTGTGAGCTATACTACATGTTCCTTTTAATGTTGCCACCGTTCCTGCAACAAAGATTTCTGATGCAGCCTCATTTGTTTCCTCGATAGTCATTCTATTCAATGCACCTGATACTCCATTATCGTCCTGAGATATCATGTAGTTGGCTGGAAAAAATGGATTCATCTCTGATTGATTATTATACTGCAAATGTTGATAATATTGCAAACTGTTATAATATTGCGGATTCCAAGTATTATATTGATCATTGTAATTGATAACGGGATTTGACGGTGAAGGGCAAGAAGAATGATATGGAGATAGAGACGGGGTCGAGTTTGCATCATCCATAATTAAATCATCTGTTCTATGAATATTGATACGAGGTACCTTTGGTTCTCTTTCCGCATTCGTTGATTGATCATCATAAATAGATTGACGTTTTCTAAAATTTTTTAAAATATTGCTCATAATTATAATAATTACAAATATTTAATTTGAAGTGAAAAAAAAAAAAAAAAAAAAAGAGTGAGACAACCGGGGCGGAGCTTTGCTTGCTTTTTATAAAGTTAAAAAAATGCATTCATCCAAAAACGGATAAGCTTATTTTCAAATTATTTCCATTTTACTTTGTTATAAAATTTTTTTTCAAGAACGTCTAGAAGTCTATGATGGTTTCTAGATTTTGAAACAGAATAAAGTTTCGGAATAACCAAAAACACTACCGGTTCGTTATATAGGTCTTGTACAACAACCAATTTATGTAACGGGTAATTTAAAAATCGACATTATTTTATTTCCTTAAATGGAAATTGCCCAAAAAGTACATTCGTTTTAATCTAGAAAGAATGATTTAACGTTCCATATAGAATATATTTAAATTTTTTTTTTTAGTCGTTTTAATGATTTCAAATTTAAAAACGTCCCAAATGTTAAAGATTTTAAAATAGTACAAGAAACTTATTAATAAATATAATCAGATCAATATATATATATATATATTTATATTATCAAAGAAAGTTGATTCGATTTTCGTCAAAACTAAAAACACCAATTCGCGAGGTCTTGGCAGTTTTCTTTGACATCGAATTTCATGTGAAATGATACAAAATATCACAATGATTGCTAATTTACGTCCACAACTTCTTTCAAATGGGATTAGTACATATTTGGCATGATTTGCTAATTAAAGATATCCAAACTGTAAAGTCTTATTTTTTATCCAGCCTAACTAGTTGTGGCAATATAAATGTCTCATTCATAAAATTTATATTTATTTCGTTTGTTAAAATATGTTCCGTACTCAATTTGGAAAAGCTAACTAATAAAATGGCTAATTATTTACAAAAAAAAAATTACTATTAAAAGGGAATATTACATTTATTACACATTTCTTTAGCTTTAGGATGATTCTCGAGAGCAGCAACTTTTAAATATTTCGCGCCTTGTTCCCTATCTTGTTCAATACCATTACCACCTTTCCAATAAGCTTTTCCAATAATATACATAGCTGTAGTATTTCCCTGATGGGCCGAATCTTTTAAATATTTAAAAGCTTCTACAAAATTTTCATCAACACCTTCACCATTCAGTAAACATAATCCATATCTCAATTGAGCAGAAGGATTTCCTTTATCAGCCGTTTCTTTAAATATTTCTATAGACATTCTAATCCTTTCTTTTTTATCAATTTGTTTCAATTCAGGAATAATTTCCCCATGATGATAATAATAATATCCTAGCCAATATTTCGCTTCAATATTGGTTGATGAATGATACTTAAAACTTTGCCATGCCAATTGCTTATTCCCATTTTTTGATTTATGAGTACGAATCGCGTCGTTAATCGGAAGAATTGTAATGGTGACAAATGATGGAGGCAATGGATTCGGATAATCCATTGATAAATTTTCTTCAGATTCCCCAGCATAGTCTTGGGTCGTGATGGAGTGGTTTTTTTTACTCAATTTGTGAAGTTTTCGACAAATTTCGGATATTTTGGGACGACATGCCGGTTCGTATATCATGGCTAATTGAAATTTAAGATGGGCAATGAAAAACAAATACTGTATATCTAATAAAAAAAAATTAAAATAAATTATATCAACTCACCATCTTTAACTAATTCTTTCCATTTACGTGGCACTTCGTTTGAAAATGGTAGACAGTATCTGTCATTAACACGTTCTCTAATCCCGAGAAGAACGTCCGATTTATTAAGATCAGAATGAGGTTTTTTTAATTCGGCAATTTCCCACAATAATGCCCCAACACTGTATAATAAATAAAAATTTAATTTTTTTTTTTTTTTCAAATATAAGAGAAAATAATTTTTTTTTTTTTACCTGTAGATTTCGCATTTAGAATCATAAGGAGGAACTAAAGGAGAGGTCGTTTTTTTTCTATCATTTTCTATTATTGATAGTTTTTCCGGGGCCATATATCTCACATTTTCAATGTTTGGAGAAATATTCCTTGTAAGTTCTGAAAATTTCCTGCTTAAACCAAAATTTGCTATTTTTGCATTATGATCATTGTTTACTAAAATATTCGCCGACTGAATATCTCGATGAAGGATCTAAATAATTTTTTTAAATATAAATATGAAAATGCTAAAACAATCATTTTTTGAAGAATTTAAATTTTAATTTACCTCACAATCGTTAAGATACGATATACCGCAGCAAATATCCAAAGCGAATTTAATTTTGGTTTCCCAAGTCATCATATCTCTAAAACGAGTATAATATTCGTGTAGATTTCCATGCTCCATCCATTCAGTAATCAAATAATATTTGGAATTTTCTTGAGCAACACCAAAAAATCTTATAATATGTTTAGAATTTTTTAATTTTTTAAGGATGTTAACTTGTCTCCTGATTTCAATTTGAGATTGATCCAAAGCGGTATTAGAAAATTCTTTGAAAGAATAATCAATTCCATCATTAATACGCTTTTCAATCTTTTTGGTAGGATAGACGCCGGTTTGTTGATATTGATTACCAAAGATTAATGGTTCATTTTCATCCAAGGTTTTAACTTCAGAAGAATCTAAAATTTTGTTTTTTCTAGTTTGTCTTTTAAATTCTTGGGCACTTCCGGCTACTGAATTCACATCATTGAAAAAATTTTGTTGAGATTGTCTGTCATTGGGGACGTCATAAAATGATAATTTCTCCATGATCTGTTTCATATCATTTGTAATAGTCGCCAAGTTATTATTGGATTGTATGGTGAAGGTAAAATTCAAACTATTCATGAATCCATCAAATTCTGCTATAAGGTTTTGAAAAGTTTCTTCGATCTTATTGGTAAAGAAGAATTTTCTAAGTTTACTTAATTGACTAATATCCCCTATAAAGTTTCGAATTTTTTTTATGCATAATATAAACTTTTTAAATAAGTCTAAATTTTCCATCTTGGAAAAAAAACATTTGTTTTCTGTTTTTCTTATATATAAATCTTTAACAGTGGCCATTGCGCAATTACATCTTTGTAAAAGGGAACTACATAATTCTTTATGATGTTCAGCCTTTTCATATAATATTATTATTTCCTTTCCTAAATTAAAGAATATTTTGATATATGGTGAAAATGCTTCGAAATTTTGAGCTATACAACACGCTCCTTTTGCTGATATAAGTGCTATTGAACCGTAACCTTGTTCCAGTTCTGACGTGCTTTCACAATCATCCATGTCCATGATATTATCTAAACTCATTTTATTTAATTCATTTGATACTTCAATGTCATCCTGCTGATAACTTGGAGAATTCATTTCTCGTGAATTGAAGTAAGAGTTTGATGGTGATAGCGATGGTGATGGTGAAAAATTAGACGGGAGACTTGTATCAATATTCATGCCTGAATCATCATCACAATTGACAATTTCGATACGAGGATTCTTCGATCCTCTTTCCGTTAATTGATCCTCCTCATCATTCGCTTGACGCTTTTTAAACATTTTTTTCATGATTGGTTAACGAATTATGAAAATATTCTTTGAAAAAAAAAAAAGTTCAATAACATGAAAAGTTGGTTTTTTAAGTAAAAAAAATAAATAAATAAAAATATTTTTTTTCGGAGTTTTGACCGAAAAACCTCCAAAGCAATTTAAGTAACATTATCATTTTATATTTGGAAATTTTCTGGAAGATGAAGAGAAGTTTCTAAAGAAATCGGATGTGCGGATGATTCACTCCGAGAATCTGTATTGGAAATTTTTTCATTGTGAAATTTTTTTTTTTTAAAGAAAAAAAAAATATGTTGACCCTTGCTTATTTATTTGGTTTTTTTTTTTACACAAGACGCACATGAAATTTCTATTTATATTGTTATGCTGCTTTGTTTTCAACGCCGTCTTGGCAAAACTTTCGATGTTCTGTGATACATTCTAAATGGATTAATTAAATTAAAAAAGAACCTTCAAACCGTTGTCATGTGATTATATAATTTTTTTATAACAATTTTTTTTTTTTTTCTGACATATGGCACGCCAAATTTGGCAATAAAGAAATCAATTGCATATTTGAATGTAAAAAAAACCGCGTTTGATGTCAAACATTTGTGGAACTTTCCGAATCGTTCTGTACATTTTTGAAGAAGCATTACATCCGATACATAAAAAATGCCACGTCGAATTGAAGCATTAAATATAAATTGACCGGATCTGTAAAGGTTCTTTATATCATGATGATGAAGGTCAATTGTTACGTGACCAATTTTACGACTATGTTATTGTCGATGACACCAAGATATATTACTTACGGAAATGCAAAAGATTCGTGAAAATTTTAAAAGAAACAATGTCATTTCCAGACACTGAATGGCTTGCACGTCTTTATTTTATTTTTTTGTTAGATACATTTATATAAGGTTATTTCAGAAGGGTACTTGACAAAGCTGAAACTCATTTTTAGCATTTTCTTTTGATATAGTGAATAACATAAATAATAATAAATCTTAAAATTTAAAATAGAGCTTGGCCCGCCGAAATAAATTTCGGCCGGAATTAAGATTCTTTAAAAATTTATGATCTTAAAAAAGGCAAATCTGTCACTTTTAAATCATATGATTTTCAAGTTTTGTTAATTTTAACCATTGAAATATGATAAGTTTGGGCTGTATTTGCTTGTTGTGAATGAACCTAACAAATATTTATATGTTGAAACTCAAATTTTTGATATAAAAACTCAATCCCATAATTCTTTAATTCAATGTACTTATTCTTTTATTTTTAAAAGATTAAAGTCAAATTTCATTATCACTTTCCTCATTAGCTTCCTCACTTCCATCTGAATACAATACTTTTAAAGCCTTAACGAATTTTGGAAGTTTGTAAAACTCTCCAATATTCACCTCCATTAAATCAAAACTAATTCCTACAATACCGTGATCATCCGTAAATACAGGAACTTTGGGATACCTTTGACTAAAATGAGTTAATAGCAAAGCATGCGCATTCATCCTACCAAATTTGTTTGAACAGATAATTTTTTTTTTGTTTTTAGATAACGTATTTTAAATTTAAAAAAATAACAAATTCATAATAATCAAATTTACCTTTTTCCTATTGAAACAGCTTCCTCAGTTGTGCTATGCAGCTTATTTAATGCTTCCTCAATCAAATCATTCTCAAAGGTTGCCTCATGAATCAAAAGTGTAGCATCCTTACCAACGCGCACGAGATCATCGCAAGGACGCGTATCACCAGAATAACTTTATATCGAGGATATTCATAAATTATTACTTGGTAAATGGTTTAAAACATATTACAATTCAGCAACTTACACGATTTTCCAGCCATCACGATGTTCGAGACTTATTCCAAAAGAATTGGGACAATGAATTGCCGCAACTGTTTCAACTTTACTAATTCCCATATCATTCTTTAAGTATTGTAGGCTGCAATTAAAAACTTTAAGAGTTAGTTTAAAAAATAATCCACGTAAAGAATATTTATAAACTTACCTATCAAAGCCAAAGTTTGTTCCTTTTTGTTTCGAAAATAAAAGATCTTTGTTATTTACGAATTTAATTTTATTGATTCCAAAATTTTCAACATCACTATATTCCTGAAGCCATTTCCATAATCTGGTAGGTCCAAGTACAGAAATTGCTGCATTTTTTTCGCCCAGATGTAACTATTATCTTGCAAAAGTTAGAACCATCAAAAATTAGGAAATGTCAACTTTTTTTTTTTTTTTAAAAAAAAAAAAAAAAAAAACTAAATAATTATGTACCTGATTCCATTTACTCAAGACTCTAATTATTCCGAGGTGGTGATCTGCATGCATATGCGATATAAAAATGCATTTCAAATTACTTATACAATTCTCCAAACTTATCTGGCCATCGCCATGAGGATGACCATATGGACCGAAATGTCGCAACATTGATCCAAATGTTCCCTCCCCAACGTCGAGAAGAATAAATCCATTATTCGGAATGGTAATCAAACTTGCACTTACTAAACATAATTTCTTCGTGAGTACAACATCTTGTAGACTATTCAAGAAAATAAAAGAATTTACCATTTCGATATTTTGAGGGCAAAGTTGATCCTGTTCCAAGAGTTGTTACCGAAATATCTCTTCCAGGAATATGTTTTGCTTCTGATTGTGAACTTATAACATCACGTTTAACTTCTTTCACGACATTTAAATAATCATTTAATCCATTCAAAGATTTTACAGCTTCTGAATCAGGATTGTTGTGATCAAATGGAGGATCTATCTGTGAAGTGTCGATCTTAAAACTCGGCTCTGTTTGGTACATCATCATTGGAACAGCAAATGATGTCTTTTTTGGAATACTGCTCACTAAATTTCAGATATAATTATTAAAAAAAGTCAAAAATTAAATCTTTAAATTTCAAGAAATTTCTAAACAAAAAAGAGAATACAAACATGATTTAATATCTTTGGCAGGTATATTTGAATAATATGGGACACGAAAGATTTTTTCATCAATTTTAGATAATTTCAATTGGCTAAGCGCCGAGCTGTGATAAATAACTCTTTGAGGACCATATTGCTCATTTGCAATAACATGCTAAAAAAATTTTTTGCTTAAAATAGGATACTTTCTCATTAACTCAGGACATTATTAATCTCACCTCAGTTTCTGGTCCAAACTTCTTCATCCATTCCTGATACCTCTGATCTTCCAACACATCATTACCAATCATATGTACTATAACCCGAGGTTGCAATTCCTTATTACTTGTCTGATATATAGCAAATTCAGGCGAATCGCAAACGGAGGAAATATACGAAATGGAAGGAATATCCACAATCATAAAAATCTAAATGTTATAAAAAAAATTTTAAATTAATCGAGAATACAAAGATTTATTAACACAAGCTATTATTTGATTCTTACCAAGCCCGGTCGTGATGGTCCAAGAACTTGATGAGGATGAACTGTAGTTCCGTTTGGCGCAACGACAGAATTTCCTTTCACTAATTCAGCTTTTGTACATAATCAAAAATATATTAGCGAAAATAAAGTTAACAAACGCAGGATTACAACTTTTATAAAAAATTTACAATATTGTCGTCCAGGGCTCAATCCTAAAGCTTTTGCGGCCAGTGGATCAAATTTTCCTTTGTAATCAGGTCCTTTACAAATGTAAGCTATAGAAGCTAAAGAAGGTTGAGATTTTGGCAACCTTTTTGGAAATAATTCCCTTCTACGATCACGTACTGAATCGTCATTATTTGAACTCCCCGCTGACTGAGGTTCATCAGGAATATGCATGGCAATATCAATATCTTCATCAATTCTAGATTTTTTCTTACTGAATGATCTAGGATCATCTGATCTTTGACTTTGATTGAACATCAATGATAAAATTTCCTTTTTGTATTTTAACGCCGAATCAATTTCATCGCTCTGCAAATCTGAATCTCTCTCACGTTTTGTACCAGTTTCAGGCTTTTGAGCGGAAGAACTAGTTGAATCAGTGTTCTTCAATTCTTCAGGATAGAGAAATACCGGAAGAACAGTCAAATTATCATCCGTAAATTCCATCCCTTCTTTTTGAAATTCATGTGTCTTTACTGACATTGTCGTTCTAATAATGATTCATCGAATGTTAACTAATTGTCAAATTTCGTGTAACAAAATAATTATAACATGATATATATTTAGTTTGCCTCAAAACGAAACTTCTGGTAGCCGTAAGAAAATGAGTCAAATTCTCTCCGCCAAGAATTTGTATCTCCTTTGACCCTGCGTCAGCCAATGTGAGAAGCATACCTAATTTTAATGGTGATGAATGAGAAAGAGAATATATATATATATATATATATATATATATTTTAATATCAACGCTGCTTTTATCATTCCTACATAAACAATATCATTAAATGATTAAGTACCTGGAAGACCTCCGACACATTCCCAATTTATTCTAGTAAGAAATATATTTTTCGTCTTTACAAGCCTTAATTTGTTTTGTAGACAAATTCTCTGTGTTCCTTCACCACAATTAAATAAATATTTTTGACTGCCCCTCTGACCATCATAATGAACAAACACCGAAGGAGGGACGTCATAAGTTCCACTTCCTAGGATTTGAATGTAGGATTTCATGAATAATGATGATGAATATGAAAAGTTTCTTCGATCACGTATATAGTTATTTAAGGGTCTGGACTTGAGGATAAGTCGCCCGAAAATAAAAGATTTGAAGGAATACAATTTGATTAGTCTGATTATAAATAATTTTTTTTTTTATTTTCTTAATTGACATCAATTATTTAAAAAAAATCATTCGGGAATTTTTCACATTAAATAAAATTAAATAATAAGTCGATCGATCAAAAAAAAAAAATAGTTTTTTTTTTTTTGCTTGATTTATATACGTAATCTCCGTTACACAACTTGTCTCGTCTCGTGACTATGATTAGATTCAAAATGTTCCATAAAATTTTTTTTTTTTCCTTATATATTTTAAATATTGAAATATAAACATAAAATAACTAAAGCCAAAAAAAAAATTATCATTTTTCAATAATATCCCCGTCATCTTCATACCAAGGTTTCGTATCTTTAATTTCACTTAAATAAAGATCATTGGTATCTCTTGAATCATTTGAACTTATAGCAGATCTAATAAAACCCTTTTGACCCTCATTTGATAATTCTTCCAAGGATAAACCCTTAGTCTCGGGTATTAAAAACGTAAATAAGAACCCGATCAAAGTGAATAAGCCAAATATTAGGAATAACTGATTAACGAATTGATTTCTCCCTCCTATATCTTTCAACCTAAGGAATCCGATTTGAGATATTATAGCCCCTAATTTACCAGCAGCAGCAGAAATTCCATGTCCGGTTGAACGATACCTTGTCGGAAAAACTTCTCCTGGTATGATAAATGTAGTTGCATTTGGTCCAAAATTTTGAAAAAATTGAGAAAAGGAATAAAGAATTATAAACAAGGTGGTTGATTTTGCGATGATTTCTTTATAACCGAAACCAATAATCATGAATAAGAATGTAAGCATAGCAAATCCTTGTAATTGAATGAATTTTCTACCAAAGGAATCAACAAAGAAGACGGTAAACCAATATCCAGGGATTGTACCCATAAGGGTTATAACAATATTTCCAAGTGAAATATTATATAAAGATTGATACGTATCTGGAGTTTTTGCAAAACCGATTGCTTCTAATATAATGGCGTTATTTAACCCCATACCGTAAAAAGCCACGTCGTGTGCAAACCAAGCAACCGAAGTACCAAGTAAAACTTTGCCATTTTCCCACCTCCCAAAATAATTCATAAAATCTTTCCACGTAGCACGTTGTATTATGGCTCTATATTCCGTGTCAATGTCATCTTTTTCAATGTATTTTCCATGTTCTAACGTTGAATGAATGTTCTGCGTTGCTTTATCAATATCCCCTTGAACATCCATTGTGAATCTTGGAGTTTCCGGTATCGTCAAACGAAAGTAAAGTGCTATCATGGCAGGAATCGTACCGGCCACAATGATGATACGCCAAACGTAATCAAGATTTTGCGGATCTGATGAAATGGCTGATCGAAAAGCAAGCAACGTGATTAACGATACCGTCCCGGCAGCCAAGATTCCGAACCCTTGCATCGCAAAGACGGCTGCCATCATTGTTCCACGTCTATTTTTACTCGCAAATTCACTTGTTATAACTACAAAAAAAAAATAATAAACAAAAATTCGTAAATTCAAACTTTGTAAGCAAAGATCAAAATAATTACCCGCCGAGAGAGGATAATCGCCACCAATACCAAGACCGAGTAATACACGCCATGTCATAATTATCGTGTACATATCAATTTGTGAATGACTAGGTGAAGCCGCGGTTCCAATGGTGGCTAAGATGATTATAATAAGTTCAACTCCATACATCTAAAATTTACATAAATAAAAAATTTGTCCATCATAAATTCTCAAGATGTTCCGAAATCCTCGAAATGCAAACCTTCTTTCGACCGAACCGATCGGCCATCCACCCGAAAATCAATTGACCAAACATAGTGCCAGCAGCAGCCGATATTTTTAATCCAGAATCAATATTAATTGGAACTTCATTGTTATTTACATCACCGAAATAAGCATACCCCAATATTGCCGAAACCAAATTAATAGAAAATAAATCATAAGCATCCGTAAAGAATCCTATTCCAGCGACTAAACATGCGCGGATATGAAACCATCCGAATTTAGCATTATCAATTTTTTCCAACGCAGTTCTACGAGTTTCATCTAAATCTTCTCCGGATAAATATGTTGTAGACATTGAAATGGATCAAGATTCATTAAGAAATAAAAAAAAAATGGCGGATCTCTTAAGGAGGCGCTAATATATATAAAGGCTGTGTAAATGGCTGTGTAAAAATCAATCGTAAATACGTGACAAAAAATCGGACCTTTTTAGGACGGATCGACAGGTGATGGTTTTTATTTTTTATTTTTTATTTTATTTTTATTTTTTTAAATTATGATACATTTCCCAAATGTACTGACGATAAATGGTAGTATGTGATTCGGAAAGACGCAAGTGTGATTTGGAGCACAAAAAAAAAAAAATTTAATTAAGACTTATACTTACTTAAAGGGTGATAACTCACAATGTCCTAAATAAATCATACAGGTTGAAAATATATAAAATTCTTGAATATATTAGAAAGTACAACTTATTAAATTATTACTGTTTTTTACGGAAATCTCTTTAGCCGTGAATGCATTCTTTTGATTATTGTGAAAGATTGATTATTACATGTCACGATTAAATGTGCCTAAAAAAATAAGTTAACGGGCATTTGGGATCTGGCTGACGTTTCGATATGGGCAAACTACATTATGATGACGTGACTATCATTGAAGAATGTTAAATTTAGTGTTCACATAATTTATGATTATTTTGGTTACTAATAAACGCACATGCGAATTTGAAATGCATTTGTAACAACCTAACCTTTATTATTAACAACCTACATATTATAAACAAAAAAAGCTATTTTATTGGCTCTTCTAATAAGTTGTTACATGTAACAGTTGTTACAATTAGATTATATCCCTATTAAATTATAGTTGGAGATCGTCCGTACTAATAGATGCGAAGTATATTTTTTGAATCCTGTGTTAATTATTAATTTCCTTTATCATCATTATAATAAAATAAATAATTATGCTGTATTCGTTTTTGCAATTAATTAAAAGATGTTCAGGGCTCTTCTTTTTTCTTTCTTTCATTTTTTTTTTTAAAAAATTAAAAAAAAAAAAAAAAAAAAATGATGGACCTAAAACATTTAATATTTATTTTCTTATTGTTATCGTCGATATTTGCACAACGACAATATATACCGACACCTCGACATTCTCATACAGCAGTAATGATAGGAAAGAAAATATATTTCAAAGGTGGTGTAAACCAGGGATTTGACGGTCTGGGATTTGAAGATTTTTTTTATTTAGATTTATCAATTCCAATTGATACAACACAAAAACAAAAAATACCTTTTTTCTCTGAAAATAATGAAGGACTTACAGCAAATTCTTGGTCGATAAGTGGACTCGGCGGCATAAATAAAGATCAAATATTTATTTTTGGTGGATTCATGAAAGATAATAGTTCATTAGTGTTACAGTATGATTCACCGAACAAGCGATGGATAACTCCAATTATAAACGGATCACCACTACCTATTAGAAGAAGAGAAACTTCAGGTGTGGTAGATGATGAAGGGTTAATGTATATTTGGTCTGGCACCACAGATACTTTTTTTGGCCAACCTTTTGATATAATTAATGATATGGTTATATTGGATACTATAGGGTTAAGTTGGCAAATTAAAAGTACTCCTTTTGCTAGATATAGTTCTACTGCCGTTTTATTACCTGATGGTATGATTTTATATATTGGTGGTAGGTCGGAGGATTTTGGATATGTTCCAATGAATCAAGTAAGTGATAAATATTTTCATATATCATGTGCTAGTGATAAGAGCCTGACCCTGGGATACATTATGTTCTGTGTGACTGATATCATGTGATCATAATAATTTCTCGAAGACACCATGTCTGATCTTGAAATAAACTGAGTTTCGAAGGATAGGAAATTGTCTTAAGGGCAGGCACGTGAGGTAAAGAGACTAAATAGGAAATATTAATTTTTTATATCTAAATATTTCAGCTTCCTATATATAATACTAAGTCAGACACATGGTTTAACATTGTAAGTTAAATAAAATAAATTCATCACTTTTTTAAAAAATAAGAAGAATAATAATAGTTTTTGAATATAGACAACTAGTGGAATTATTCCAGAAAGTCGTGTAGGACATACCGCTACATTAGGTATGTATCATTGAAAATGAATATTTATAAAATATAGCTCATAATTATAAATTTATAGTTCCTGATGGTAGAATTATTGTATATGGTGGAATACATATGATTGGAGAAGCCTATCTTCCACCAAAAGAAGATTTAATAGTATTAAATACATCTCGGCCAATATATGATTGGAAAGTACCTCAAATACAAAAAATGCCTGCGTCAAGATGTGCTCATACTACTACATTATATGAAAATTACATGATTATTGCATTTGGTAATTACTGTACATTACGTTTAATTAAATTTTCATATTTAATCAAAATTTAAACAAATATATTTTACTTTTCTTTTAATCTATAGGAAATTTGACAAATTATGGAGCAACAGATGAGTTACATATATTAGATATTTCAAATGAAGCAGAATATAAATGGGTAACCACGATGGATAAACCTGTACCTATTTCTAATTCACCAAATAATTCGACTAATTCGACTAATCCGATCGCCCCAAATCCCAAGCCAGGTGGTGTTAATGTTGGTCTTTTAATTGGTATTGGTTTGGTTAGTCTCGGATCGATTTCTGGTGGTATATATTACTTTTTTTATAGAAGACGTAAAATTTTAGAAATTCCTAATGATGAAATGCTAGAAAGTAAAAATTAAATTATTGAATTATTATATGTATTTTTAATATTTTTAATTATTTTATTTTGGACTTCTAATGAAGACTTTTGAATAATAATAGACAAAATGAGGATTAAAAAAAAATTAATTTTTTTTTTCCTTTATAACTTTTTTTTATTTTTTTAAAAACTTCAATATTAAAACATCCATCGAAAAATTCTTTATTAATAAAATTCACAATATGCTTGCAATTAGCCAGATGTATAGCTGTTCTCCCAAATACCACGTATAGGTTTATCATCAGAACGACCAAATTCAAGAATATCATAATGATTTCCAAACACCCACTTTGACGATTTCTTCACAGGAATATAAAACTGCTACCGGACCGGCTAATTGGCTATAGGCAAAGCCCTTTCTTTATTATTATATTGTGTATAGGAAAAAAAAAGTATAAATCCTGTAAAGAACTTAAGATAAATAATTATACAAATGTCCGTGTGAAGTTGTAAGAATTTTTTTTTTTTTATGATGTGATCAAGTCTCTCCGGACATGTTTAATAATACAAAAGGCAACAACCAATCTTTCTGGAAATAAGTGCAACGATTTCGTATGATAAAATCATTTGTTAATGAATATTTGCAGATTAAAAATAAATAAAAATCATCCAAGAAACGAAAATATTGAATATGATTTTCTAAACGCTCAAATAATTGTAGCTCTATATTATAAATTATAGATTGAGATCGTCCGTACTAAATTATGCGCAGTATATTCTAAAATCCTGTGTTAATTTTTAATTTCCTTTATTGTCATTATAATAAAATAAATAATTATGCTGTGTTCATTTTTGCAACTAATTAAATAGATGTTCAGGGCTCTTCTTTTACTTTCTTTTATTTTTTTTTTTTAAAAAAAAAAAAAAAAAAAAAGATGTTGGACCTAAAACATTTAACATTTATTTTCTTATTGTTATCGTTGATATTTGCACAACGACAATATATACCGACACCCCGATATTCTCATACAGCAGTAATGATAGGAAATAAAATATATTTCACAGGTGGTTATAACCACCAAGGTAAACGGCGATTTGAAGATTTTTTTTATTTAGATTTATCAATTCCAATTGATACAACACAAAAACAAAAAATACCTTTTTTCTCTGAAAATAATGAAGGACTTACAGCAAATTCTTGGTCCATAAGTGGACTCGGTGGTAAAAATAAAGATCAAATATTTATTTTTGGTGGATTCATGGATGATAATAGTTCATTAGTGTTACAGTATGATTCACCGAACAAGCGATGGATACGTCCAATTATAAACGGATCACCACTACCTATTAGAAGAAGAGAAACTACAAGTGTGGTAGATGATGAAGGGTTAATGTATATTTGGTCTGGTACCACAAATACTTTTTTTGGCCAACCTTTTAATGATATAATTGATGATATGGTTATATTGGATACTGTAGGGTTAAGTTGGCAAATTAAAAGTACTCCTTTTGCTAGATATAGTTCTACTGCCGTTTTATTATCTGATGGTATGATTTTATATATTGGTGGTAGGTCGGAGGATTTTGGATATGTTCCAATGAATCAGGTAAGCATGAGCACGAGAGGAAAAGCGACTAAATAGGAAAATATTAATATTATATCTAAAAATTTCAGCTTACAATATATAATACTAAGTTAGATACATGGTTTAACATTGTAAGTCGAATAATTAAATTCATTACTTTTTTAAATATTAATAGTAATAGTAATAACATTTGACTATAGACAACAAGTGGATTTATTCCAGAAGGTCGTGTGGGACATACAGCTATATTAGGTATGTATCATTGAAAATGAATATTTATAAATATATCTCGTAATTATATAATTATATATTTTATAGTTCCTGATGGTAGAATTATTATATATGGTGGTAGACGTGGAGTTGGAACCGCTATTCCACCAAAAGAAGATTTAATAGTATTAAATACATCTCGGCCAATATATGATTGGAAAGTACCTCAAGTACAAAAAATGCCTGCGTCAAGATGTTTTCATACTACTACATTATATGAAAATTACATGATTATTGCATTTGGTAATTACATTACATTTATTTTTCATTTTAATCAAAATTTTAAGCAAATGTATTTTACCTTTCTTTTAATCTATAGGAAATTTGACAAATTATGGAGAAACAGATGAGTTACTTATATTAGATATTGCAAATAAAGCAGAATATAAATGGGTAACCACGATAGATAAACCTGTACCTATTTCTATTTCACCTTCAAATAATTCGACCCCAAATCCCAAGCCAGGCGGTGTTAATGTTGGTCTTTTAATTGGTATTGGTTTGGTTAGTCTCGGATTAATTTCTGGTGGTATATTCTACTTTTGGTATAGAAATAAACGTAGGAATAATCAATATGGTGGTAATAATAATAATATTCAAAATCATGACCGAGTTTTAGAAATTCCTAGTGATGCCATGACTAGAAATTAAATATTTTAAAAAGTAAATTATTGAATTATTATATGTATTTTTAATATTTTTAATTATTTATTTTGGACTTCTAATGAAGTCTTTTGAATAATAATAGACAAAATGAGGATTAAAAAAACTAATATTTTTTTTACAAATTTTTTATTTTAAAACATCAGAACATCACATCAATGACCAAATACAAGAATATCATTTAACAACTTATAATGATTTCCAAACTCCCGCTTTGACGATTTCTTCACAAGAATATAAAACTGCTACCGGACCGGCTAATTGGCTATAGGCAAAAGCCCTTTCTTTCCGAGTACAAAAGAAAAGAAAATGTGACTCCAGAATAATTAATTTTAAAATGCAGTTTTTATTTGATTGTATATTTCGTTGTATTCATTATATTGTGTATAGGAAAAAAAAGAAAAAAAAAGTATAAATCTTGTAAATAACTTAAGAAGAAAATAATTATACAAATGTCCATGTGAAGTTGAAAGAACTTTTTGTATGATTTAATCACATGATATTTCGATTAAGTCTGCTCCGAACATGTTTAATATATTAATAAAGGCAACAACCAATCTTTCTGGAAATAAGTGCAACGATTTCGTATGATAAAATCATTTGTTAATGAATATTTGCAAATTAAAAATAAATAAAAATCACCCAAGAAACGAAAATATTTGATATGATTTTCTAAACGCTGAAGTAATTGAAGCTCTATTACCAGGTAAGATTATCATTATTAGGACAGCCCTCCCTACATTTTTTTCTTCCATAACACTGGAAATTTAAGTGACTGTGAATTGCATTAAATCAATCCAATGCACAGTTGTAATACTTGGTTTAGAATTCAAAGTTCATCAGAATTAACGAATCACAAACTGTGGTTATTCTAAAGTGGTTGCTTTGCAGAAAAAATTTAAACGTTAGTAACTCGTTCTTGGCTATAGATTACCACTCCTTGAAGTCGTTAACTGAGCGATTTTATCAAACAAAGTTAGATGATTCTTGACAGAAATGGTGAATATTTTATGGTGGTGGATTTTGCAGGCTCCATCATAGCATGCACTGATATCTTAATAGAAGATATACTGTAGTGTTTACAATTATTTTATTGTTTTCAATTGTATTGCCATTCACAGTAGCTACTTTACAAATCTTTATGGTCTTTCGATTCTAAAGTGGGGAGCGGTCGGGGAAATCCACTTATTTAGTCAAAAATTTTTTTATTGGTTCACTCTGCTGATCATGGTCATGTGAACAAAACTAGCTTACTTAGATTTCCCCCTTTTCTATTGACCGCCCCCCAAGTTTCACATGGGCCGACGGCCCATATCTGATAAGCAAATAAATCCTCACGTAAACCAACTCATTTTTACGTTGACGATTCTAAGGAAGACTAATGTCTGGATATAAGCATTTATGTGAGTTAACAGGACCAACATAAAGTCCTTCCAGAATAGAATGATGTTATGGAATGCCTTGGATTTGTCGAATTCTTGGACTAATCTTAGAACAGAATATATAGACAGTTCATATTACACTTAACTCATATTGAAATTTTTACAATGACCGGTTTGAACATTGTTTCTCGCACACTTGATTAAAATTCAGCCATCAAAATCGCCTATTGCGGAACTTTCAATGTAATAACTATGATAATTAGATTAGCAGACATAAGTTAAAAAACAAAAAAAATACCAATCTTGATTGGTTGAGGGATACAAAGGTAAAATTAACTAAGCAAATGGAGCTTTGCTGGAAGAGTCACCAGATCTAACTCAATGTTTACAATTGCATCTTCATTATCTTTACAACGAATATCATATAGGACCCATTTAAATTATTGAAGTTTATTGCGTTTAAATACTGTACCCGCAGATATTTTTTTTTGTCCATTTGATTCTCCCTCTTTCGATCGCGATTGTAAGACCATCGTGCTGTTCTCATCAAGCGTTTGAGTTACACCCGTTCTTTTTGAAGAGACGGATACGTTGTGTCTTTCTTCCGTCTCCTTCTGCGGTTGGCAGCGAAATGCATTCCGTTATGTCTTGCCACAAATACTGTGATAATCGAGAAAAAGTCTTCTGCAAGTTCTCCGAGTTCATTATTCTCTGCACTATTATCTGTGAGCCGAGTTCTATTCTTTTCAAAGATCCATTATACAAGTTCTGATCCAAAATGACGATTTTTACTGTGTGTATTCGTTAGTATGACTCTTGTATTTGTCTTGCCAGGCAGATTAAATACTAATAAAAAAAGTTTTTTTTTTTTTGTTAGGAACGACAGAACTGTATTTGTCAAAATTACTTATTCATATGGGCGGATTTGACTCCGCATGATTCGTTTATATCACTTATACAACAAAATGTGATATTTGGTAGACGCGATTTTGATTGGTAAATTAGATCAAAAAGATCTAACCAAAACAATATACGGTAATTAAACAATGAACGCGCTTTTTTTTTTTACTTGTTCGCTTTGCCAAAAAAAAATTCCTCTAAAAATAAACTATTGATACATGAGAGAAGTAAGCACCGAAACAATAAAATTATACCCCACCATACTTCACTTATTTTGCCTTCTTTTGAACATATTGTTTATTATCAAGATGCTTTTATAGTTCTTATCAAAAAACGGCTTGGTTTTAATATTCATTCCATTGGTTCAAAACGACTTTCAATAAATGCTTTTACAGAAACTATTTTGTTCATTTATTTGAAAATGAAGCTTCTTTTCAATATAGTCCAACAAAACGACAATACTTTTGTCAATTTCATGGAAAGGCTGGAGAAGAGAAACTTAAACAAATACTTAATTATGAATATTGGAGTTTTAAGCAGGATCCCGAAACAAAAACCATGGGATATGTTTTATTTGCTAATTATGAAGGGGCATATAAAGTTAAATTTAATTGGTATTAAGCATTCTATTTACAGTATCTATATATATAATAATAATTGAAAAAAACTGCTTAATTTTCTAGAACATTATTAGAACTTAACGAAAATGAGCGATCTTTTCGGTGTGGTACCGCAACTTGTACTTTTGTGCCTGATTCTGAAGAATTTGTTAATGTGTATGCATTAATTTAATATTTTATGATATTATGATATAATGTTTGTATTATTATATTTTATATTTATTAATTTTATTAATTTTTTAGAAATAAACATGAGACAAATAAATGCTTAAATGTAAATCAACCGTCAAATTATAGATTTATATTACCTCACACACCACTTCAACAATTATGTATTAATTATATATCAAAAAAATTATAGATTTTTTTTTTTTTACATTTAATTCTCTTTACTAATGTCTATATTATAGCAACAATCTTTTTAGGAATATTGTTAATTAAGTAGAATAATTGGCAATTTTTAAAAGACATTATATTATATACTACTGATTTTCCATCAGTTCCTCTACCCATAATTATATCTCCAAAAAAAAACAAATAAACCTAAAGTTAAATAAATTAAAAATAAAGATATAGTTTAAATAAAAGAAAATTACAATTATTTTTGAGTATCTAATTGTGATTTTTTTTTCTATACTTGAAGTAAAAAAAAAATTTGTAAAGAAAGATCCTTTTCTTCTAATTATCATAAAAACTGAGGTATATATTTTGCAAAAACATGCATGTAAAGTGTGATATCTTCTTTTTGATATAAGCCAGAAATTTGTATAGTACTATTCATATGATCTTGAGTTAGATGGTAAAATATATAGATCTAATTTTGAGCATCAATCTCAAATTAATCAATTTCTTGATTTTCTTTATGTAAAATTAAATACAAATGATAAAATTCTCACTATAATTCTTCTATATCTTTTTCATAAATGCCTAATACAAATTGTGATACTGAAAATTTTTCTAGCATTTTCTTTTTATCTGAACTAAGATTGCTTATTTAAACTCATTTTAGATTTAGTAAACGTCTAAACTATAGTTTTGCTAAATTTTTACTAAGGTTTTGATATAGTTTTACATTTTTATAAGCTTGATATAGTTTTACCTTTTCTAGAATTTTGCAGATTTTTAATAAAGTTTTAATATAATTTCGCTAAATTTTATCTTTTTCCATTTAGACGACTTGCAAAATCTCTAAGTTTCGTCCAGTAACCTTAATCTAGACCTATTAAGAAAGTCTAGTTCTAGGGTTTTCATTTAAAATAGTATATTCAAATATTAGTTTGTAAATAAATAAAATACAAATATTCAAAAATATATAATCAATATTTAAATATCGAAATGATTTTGAATATCAAAATAATTTAGATATTAAAATTGATTTCAAATATCATTAATTTGATCAATTTTATCTATTGATTTTTATTTTTTCGTATTTCATTCTTTTTTTTGTATTTTGGTTTTTTTGATATATTTTTTTTTCAGTCTATTCTTTTTTTATTTAATTTATTTATTTTTTATTTTTTTATAATATTTCTTTTTATTTTTTTTTGTTTTGTAATTTATTTTTTATATATTCTTTTAAAATTATTTTTGATATTTAAAATTAATTTTGATATCTGAAATCATTTCGATATTCATTTGAAATTATTTTAAAAAACTTTCAAATATTTGATATGAAATTTGTATTTCAAATGAAAACCCTATCCAGTTCTATTGTTTTTATGTCAATTTAGATTGAAAAAATTTAAAGTGAATTTTAATATTTTTTAATATTAATTCAATTGCTAGTTTAATTTTGCTTTTAGAATTCCTTTTTTTAATTAAATAAGCAAATAATTATTTCATCAAAAATTCTTTTATATATAAATACAAATATAATTCATCTGAAATATAATTTTATTGATTAATTACTAAAAATAAAGAAGATTTTTTCATCTAATTATTAAATATTAATTAAATATTATACAAAAAAATAATATATATATTTTTAAAATAATTTAAAACTTACATTTTATATTTTTTGTATTATTCTATATTTTATTCATATCTCAACTTGATGATGCATCACAATCATAATACAAACAAAAATATTTAAAAGTAGGCACATTTAATTCCATAATAATATATATAAATTTCTAATCACTATAAAAAAATAATTCAATTGACCAATTAATACCATCTTGATCAATAATATTATTACCTTTTAAATCAGATAATCGATACAATTTTTGCTAAATTTTCATATTTCTCACATCCAATATAAAGGTAAAATTATAATTTACAAATAAAATTAATTAAATTAATTAATAAAAAATATTATTTTAATAATAATGATAATTACCAATATTGATAATCAGGTTTCAAGACTTCTT